CATTCATTCCTGCGTGAGCCATGCGGAAGCGCTGCCACAGCGACTTGTGCAAGGAGGTCTGCAGATGAGCCCGGAGGTCGCAGTGGGCAAGAGAGGAGGAGTTAGCATAGCGATAGGTTAGAGGCAGCCATAGCTGCCATAGCTGTAGTTAGTAGTGAGTGTGTGTGTGTGCTCGTGTGTTAGAGTGATGTGTGTGGGATATCCAGGGTGATCCAGTGTATGTGAACAGTGAGATGTTTGGGCGCTGAGGTCGCCATAGCCAATTGGGAGTGAACTCGTATCTGAAAACCATATCTCTGAGTTTTGAGTGGGCGCATGTCGCCAGTATGCTGCGTTACTGTTTACATGTGTGAAAAGTGTGTTTGAAAAGGAGTCTGATTGCAATTTAGACTCAATGTAGGTTGTCAGGTAGCCTGAGGTAGGCAAGTCAATCTGGCAGCACTGTAATCTCTACTTAGTACTTCCCTAATTTCAGTACTTGGTAGTTGAGCACTGCAGCTGTCTATCATCACAACTATATTGTCTGTTCAAATAAAATAAAGTTTAATAAACTGATACAATGTTCAGGGACGCTGGACCCGCTTTCCAGCAGGTGGTGGTCCCCACCAATAGATGGAGCCTCCCCTGGAATGCAAGTGGTGCCTGCTATTACCAGCACCCCTAGCATCCACTTGGCCCTTGGGTTGTTGAAAAAATTCCATCGAAGAAATTTTTTTTTTTTTTTTTTTTTTTTGGAAGCAATTATTAGCAAATGAAAAAGCCAACTACAAGCTGTTCACAGCAAAACTGTCAGCCTGACCTATCGTGCATACCCACATGCAGCCTAGCGCGACGACTCACGAAATGTGCAAAAAGAGAATATGAATATTCTGCTAGAACATGGGAAGATACACGGCCATACTTTTTTGTCTTTTTTTGTGCATCTGGTGAGTAGTGGAGCGAGGCCCATTGTCAAACTCTCACCCACGATGAGTCCCCCGCCATTCGCTCATCTTATGTAATCACGCCCAACGTACCCGGCCATTCGTTTGTCTTACGTAATTACGCTTGACGTCCTTTATGCCATTCATCCATTTCAATCACAACTTGAAAACATCCCACTTGCTGCAAGCTTTTCTACCCTCAAAAAAAGAAAGAAACAGGGAAAAAAAAAAAAAAAAAAAAAAAAAAAGAACAAAGAAGAAGAAGAAGAAGAAAATAAGCTTTTTTGTGCGAATTGTAATTGAAGTTGATGAAGTTCAAAACTTTCAAACACAAAGCTGTGACCTCACTCATTGATGACATTCAGTGATTTCGATTCATTAATGGTTAACAGGGACCCCCCCTATTTTCAGGTCCTGCCCAACAGGCCCGAAACTGAAAATAGAGTTTGGGGTTCAATTTTCTTGTGTGTGTGTGTGTGTGTGTGTGTGTGTGTGTGTGTGTGTGTGTGTGTCCAATATATCCCACGGCGTACTCACCATGCACCCCATGAAACCCATGGTACACCCCACCAAACTAACACTGCATGCTGCCACTCTGCGAACTCGTTGGAGCTACCTCGTACAAACGTGGTTATCCGTGACCAGCTTTTCCCAAGTGCCAAAAACGTGCAAGCACACCAGCAGGCAAAACCCCAAAAAAGATGCCAAGACCAGGCAGACAAGAAAAGCATCAGGGCATGCCAAAACCAAGCAAGCAAAAAGACATCAAGGCACAGGCTGGAGGGCACGGGGGAGGCAGGAGGGCAGACAACAAGCACACAAAACCAGCACACAAACACACCAAGGCAACATCAGCAAGGCGACCAGACTACAAGGCACACAAGCAAGTAAAGGACGCGGAAGGCCAACAGGGCAAGCAGACGAGCAGCTCGGCAAGCGTGCAGTGAAGCACAAGGCACCACCAACAAGGCAACCAAACTACAGGGCATGCACACAAAGGACACTGGAGGCCGACAGGGCACACGGACAAGCAGCTCAGCAACCGTGCAGCGAAGCGCGAGGCACCGCCACAAGACTACCAAACCACAAGGCACGACCCGCGGGTAGGCGGAAAGGCAGCAGAGCAGCAAGGACGACCTACAAAGCAAGCGGCACGGGCAGCAAGACCGCGGCAGAGCGCAGACAAGACAGTCTACACATCCAACACGGAGCAAAGCAGCACATGACCTACTCACATCACGATAGAACCCCGCAGACTGTTGGTTCCCACCACCCGCTCAGCCAGGGGGACACTCCGACGACCATCCGTCATCACCAACAGGCAACACAGACATCCCGAACCGAGCGCCCCCCCTAAGAGTGCAGTTGGCACTCCAAACGAGGAACCACCGACTGTTTGGCACTGCTAGAGGGTGCTCGGCTAGAGACACAAAAAGCACTTAGAAAAAAATAGGAGAAAGAGGAAAAACAAGCATACTAAAACTGATTGCGCGTGTGTGTGTGTGTGTGTGTTATCCATGCCCTGCACTCGTCCAATCGACGTAGTGGATGACTGTGTGTCTTGCCGTCGATTGGCTGTGTCAAAGTGCATGGCTCTCTCTCTCTCTCTCTCTCTCTCTCTCTCTCTCTCTCTCTCTGTCTGTGTGTGTGTGTGTGTGTGTGTGTTGTCATATTCGCTATACACACTCAAAAAAAGCATGACTGTGCCAGAGAGACTGTTTCGTCGGACTCTCACCAACTTTTTTGTGCCTGTTTTAAAGTTCTGAAAATTGAAAATTCAGGCTTCAGTTAACCTTCTCTCTTTCTATCCCGACTAGGAGACGGACATGGGCAAAAATAATTGAAAATTTGCAGTTACATTTCAAAATTTCACACACAAAGCTGTGGCCCAGGTCCACGATGCCATTTAATGATTTGAATTTTGAAATTTTCAAATTTCAATTCAACTGAAGGTTGCAAAACAATTGAAAATTTGAAATTAATTTAATTAAATAAAATTTAAGTTCCAACTCAGCACCACCATCCTGCTCTCGCAAATTGGATTGATTTTCAAAATTACAGTCACAAACTAGGCTACCAGCCGCGCTGCCCGGGCCATCCTATTTTCCTGGACAGCCCGGCCGTGCAAGGACCTAGGACGGTCCTTGCAAAAAAAAACAAAAACAAAAAACATCAAAAAAATCCGAAAAAAAAAAACTACGCTATGCCTAGGCTACCAGCCAGGCCGCCCGGGTCCCGGGKGGCCGGCCAGCCCGCGCAAGGACCAGGGAAGGTCCCAGMAAAAAAAAAAAAAAAAAAAAAAAAAAAACCTACAAAAAATCCGAAAAAAAAACTATGTTGTGCAGAAAAATAAACTGAACAACTTTTGCCTCGGGGTCACATCGAAATTATTCACCAAATTTAGAATAAAGAATAAAAACTAACAATATAATTTTAATTTTTATTTTTTTAATTGTTTTTGGCCCGGCCGGGCAAGTGACCCCGGGCCACTCTGGTAGCCTAGCGTTATGCAGAAAAATAAACCGAACAAATTTTGCCTCAGGGTCACATCGAAATTCTTTGAAAAATTTAAAATAAAAAATCAAGTTAAAATCCTTTTTTTCTTTTTTTTTTTTCTTTTTTGGGCCCAGCCGGGCAAGTGGCCCTGGGGCACTCTGGTAGCCTAGGTCACAAAACAAAAACTGTGCCTGAATCGGCGGCCATACGTAGCTCAATTGATACACCCATGAACTGTTTGAAATATAGACCCAACTTTGAATCTGGTTGCAACCAGACGAACAGAATAAAATAAAAATAATTATTAGAAGGGGGGGCAGGGCTCAGGGGCAAGGTCCCACTAGCAAAAAGGATTGAATTGAATGACTGAATCTGGGCTCGTTTGTGGAAAGGTGCGGAAAATCGAGATTGAGCTGCTTTTCTGTATCTCCGCTTAAAACACGCCCAGATTCAGAAGGTTAATCCTATCCTCTTTGCTAGTGGGACCTCGCTCCTGGACTCCGGGTGGAGCAGGACAGCCCGACTGACCCCTTTTGATTACTTTATGTACAGTCTTGGGCACTGGGCCCTAATAATAATTAAAAGAAAAAAAAAAGAATAAAATAATGGGGCCAGTCACTTCAATGGTAATGCTCTTTTCTTTCAAAAAGCAAAAAAAAGAGGGGAAAAATAAATAAAAAGAACTGTGCCTGACGTCAATAATGCCATTCAATAATTTCAATCCCGACTCGGGGAAAAGTTCTCGGCTTTAATTTTTCAAACTCTTTCTCTTGCAAAAAACAAGGTGCAAAAATTTGAATTTCAATTTTCCATCTGAAAGTTGCAGACAAAACTCAAGGACAGATTCTATCTAAGGCGCAGACCCCAGTGGTGCCACCATGTTCATGCTTGGAAAGCATGAACCTGGTCCTAATCCTCTCCAGTTTCATGCCTTCCCAGTATGAACATAGCACCACCACCGGTGCGTGGCCCCAAGTATGCACCCTTCGGACCGGATAAATTTAGAATTTTGATTTTTTTTTTTTGGACAAAAATCGCACAGAAAGTAGCATATGCCCAAGTCTACAAAATCTCTGTAAGCATACGTAAGACTCCTACCCACCCATTCTCGTAGTCGTCACACACCTCCTCCGCCTCCTCTGCATGGCCTTCACCGCCGGGCTTGGAAAGCATGAACCTGGTCCTAATCCTCTTTTCATCAAAAATATGTGTGGATTTTTATTCTTGTCTCAGGACCCAGGCAAATCTTCGCCTGCACCACTTCCCTTCTTTTCTTTCTTCCGTTTTTGCCCCTTTCCCCTTTCACCATTTTCATGTTTCAAATTTTTCAATGGATTATTGCACCCAGTCCATGGTAATTAGTGATTACATTTTCTTCTTCTTCTTCTCCTTTTTTTTTTGTTCACTTCTTTCCTCCTCTCTCTCCATCCTGGTCACTCTTTCCTTCGTATCTGTTTCCCTTCTTCCCTCCTTCCCTCTTTAAAAAAAATGCTTCTACGCACACCAGTGAAAACACACAGACAGCTCGCCTTCTCCTCCCTTACCTCCCCCCCCGCGGTGAAAAAGAAAAAGCAGCAAAAAATAAAACCACTCTTTGGATCCTCCTCCTCCTCATAGTCTCCTAGTTAGTACTCCAAAGAAGACGGAAAAAAAAAAAAACACAACAACAACAACAACAGCAACAACACAGGTCTTCCTTCTCCTTCTTTTGGTGGATGATGGATGTCATGCTAGAGTTGCTCTTTTTCCCTTCATTTCCTTCGACGGTCCCGCTTTCCGCGAACCAATGAAGCTCTCGTAGATGTCATTGAGTCGCGTCTTTTCCATTTGCGATATGGAGGGTCGGGCCACGCTGACAGCTTTCTGCAGGTGCTCCATAGTTACCACAGGCGCAGCACCGGGCAATGCATTAGGAGAGGCAGCATCTTTAGGTTGACTTTGACTGACAGTTTCGCGATCCAGGTGGCTGTGAATGGCCGCCAGCTGCGCGTTGCTCAGCACAGCTTGAAGATCGGCACCGCTAAAGCCACGTCAGCTGCAAGTGGAAGCTGCAATGTCACTAAGATCCACGTCAGCTGCAAGTGGAAGCTGACGTGCCAGCACGTTCAGTATCTCCTTGCGCTCGAATTCCGAGGGGAAATCGCATAGCAGAAGGCGATCCAGTCGTCTGGGACGAAGCAGAGCTGCGTCTATGAGATCCGGACGGCTCGTTGCCGCGATGACGAACACACCAGATAATCCCTCTACCCCGTCGAGCTCCGTCAACAGCTGATTGACGACACGGTCAGTCACGCCGGTGTTGTCATGGCCTCGCTTAGGAGCAATCGCATCAAATTCATCAAAGAACAGGATGCTCGGTGCCGCAGCTGATGCCTTTGCAAACACATCGCGCACCGCTTGCTCGCTTGCTCCTATATACTTGTTCAGCAGCTCCGGGCCTTTGACGCCGATGAACCGCAGGTGACAAGCCGCTGCAGCGGCACCAACGACATGCGTTTTACCGCAGCCGGGAGGGCCATAGAGGAGGATTCCCGACCGAAGACGCAGAGGAGCTTTCGAGAACAACTTTCCGTACTTTACGGGAAGTTCAAGTATCTCCTGGAGTGTTCGCCGCACATCGTCCAGCCCTCCAATATCCTCCCAACCTTTCTGTGAAGGCCCATCACCAGCATTACTAATTGCGACGACTCCTCGCATTGCTGCGGGCACAAAGCCGCGTTGTGCTTCGGCGAAATCGTCTTCTGTTACGGTGAACGACCATCGTCGCCATTGCTGCGACAGCGACGGAGACCTCCTGTGGCAGCGATCTTCGACTTCTCCTTCAACAAACCGCATCTGCAAAAGAGAGTCAGAGACCTGCGACGGGCCATCTTCAGCACCCAACGGGTGGCGTGCCTCCTTTCTAGTAGTCTTCTCTGATGCCTCCTCCCATGAGGGCAATGCAGTGGTGGACGTGGTGGTGGTAACATCGCTGTTACATTCCCTGTCATCTCCATCGTGAGCACTGCCAATCCTTTGGCCATGCAAAGTGGATGAGGCTAAATAACGACGGGAGGCTACGTGAATCGCTCGCTCCACCAGGACATCTATGTCATGTGCATCGTACCCATCGCAATGCGTCGCAACCTCCATCATAGCCACATCTTTTGCAAAGTTCACTCCTTTGGATCTGAGGCACGACTGGATAATGGCAGCGCGTTCCGCTGCACCTGGCGCCGGCAATTGCACAGCGAAATCAAGCCTCCCTGAGACACGAAGAATGTGATGGATGCTCGAGGGAGACTGTGCGATCGCCAGAAACGTAATTGACTGCCTTGCACCCCATCGCCCTTCCTGGCAGGCATCCATGAGGTCCCCAATGAACTCTGCCAATGCCGTGTGCTCTGCGACATCGCCGACCGCGTCGTCCTGCCTCTCCTCGTTCGGAAGAAGCGCGTCCAGGTCATCGAAGACGATCACCGATGGTGCATGCTCAAGCGCTTCTTGAAATACCCCTTCCATGCGCATCTTCAGCTGCTCAATCTGCCCACCAACAAGACTGTCACACTTGACGAACACACTGTAAGCGAGGTAGCAGTCATCGTTTGCGAGTTCCACAGCTATGGCTTTCGCGAGTTGCGATTTGCCAGATGCCTGTGGGCCATGGAGAAGAACCCCACCTGCTGCTGGGAGGAGGCCCGGCCGGACCCTGGATTTCCCAGTCCCATCCCCAGTCCCAGATTGCCAACCCCACCAAGCGAGACAAGCCCGTATTCGGGTAAGGATCTCCTTGGCGGGTACACGGAGCCACTTCAAGCCCTTAAGATCTGAAAACTCTGAATCTGAACCTGAACCTGAACCTGGTTTAAAATTCACTGATTTCCCATGTCCCATCTCCGGAATGGCATGATTCCACCGAAGAGGAGGACCTCCCACTGCAACAAAAGGAATTGGCACAGATGCAGAGCTCCTCAATTCCCGCCGATGGCTAACTGTTCCAGCACCCTCTGCCCCATTCAGACCATCAGTCTTACCAGAAATAGAAAAGATAGTTTGCCCGTGGGTGGCCTCACTGCATTCCAGCTGCACTAGCGCATATGAGAACTCAGTCCGAGTTTTCCGAGTTTGTGAAACGCTGTTGTCCGGAGATCTCAGTGCAGCAGAGCTCCGATCGTGCCGTCCGTCCACCTGCTGCTTCCCATTATTGCTACCAGACGTCAGAAGTCTGACACAGAACAGCAGTTCCTTTGGTGATTTCAGGACCCAGGGAAGCTTAACAGATTGCCCAGGATAACAATTATGCAATGACGACAACGACGATTGATTCTCTGAGACGTTGCCATCAACAGATGGGGGAGAGGAGATCGCCATTCCCAGTCCCAGTCCCAGTCCCAGTCCCAGTTCCAGTCTCGATTCGGGTCCCAGTGGTGGTCCCATTGCCGTTCCTCCTACTTCTTCTAACAGCTGGAAGGAGAGGTGGAGTACCATGCCATCGACCAAGAGAACACGGCCCCTCCTCCCCTGAGAGAAGTTTCCCTGTGTGTTCATCTCTGCTGCTGATGTACCCTGTCCTCCTCCTTCAGTGCTTGTTGCATGCATCGACATCCAAAACTTGAGCAGGGTTTCAGCATCTTCGTGTACAACAATATGACCAGGCGCTGAGTAGTCTTGAACCTGTGCCCTTCCTCGTGACACCACCATGGCAGTTGAGGCAATCAAATGCATATCCTTGTGGCTGTAAGTGTGCTTCTTCGTTGGGTACCTGCTTCTACTCGTCAGTGATAGTTCCCCATTCCCCTGACTTTCTGAATTACCTCCATGTCCCTGTCCCTGCCATTGCCCCTCTCTAGGGCCCTGCTTCTTCTTCTTTTGGCCTCCCTTCTCCTCCTCCTCCTCCTCCTCCTCCTCCTCCTCTGGATCTTCATGCTGTTGCCTTTGGCCTGCTGCCGAGTCAATCACTGGAATTAGTGGAATCAGCTTCACCCCCTTTAGTAAACCACTCCCCAACGGGGAGGGTAACAAGAAGGGGTCCGATTTTACAATGACCCAAGTGAAGAGGTGAAGCCCCCCCTGCTGGCGCAGAGGCAAGGAAATCATCACATGATCTGGTGCAACCAATGGCGAAATCAGCAGATTGGCTAGCACTGGACCTGCTGCTAGAGTTCCTTGGGGGTAATCTCCCCCCGTCCCCACCCCCTTTTGTGCAAGATCACCCCCTCCCCCACCTCCCAACATCTGTGCTCTCTCTCTCTCCTCTTCCTTCCCACCCAGCTCTCTGTGCCTCCCTCCCTGAAAGCCCCTCTGCAGGCTTCTGCCATCATAATCTCCCCCCTTCCCAAACATCCCCTTCCTCCCACTATAGTCATCTCCCAAGGGTCCTGTTTGGCCACCCGTTGCATAATCATTACTACTCCTCCTTTCATCCTCCCTTTCTCCCTCCTCCTCCTCCTCCTCCTCCTCCTCCTCCTCCTCCACCGCCGCCTCCTCTCCCCGGTGCAAGAAGCGATTGGCCCCGTACCGCTGCAAAGCCTGCACAATCACCAGCTGTCCATCACAGAATCCTGCTGCTTTAGCGGTAGCTGAAGACACATAAACGGAATTGGTAGGGAAGGACTTAACATGCCAGCAACCTCCTCCACCTCCTCCTCCAGTCGTACTTCCTCCTCCTCCTCCTCCTCCTCCTCCTCCTCCTCCTCGATGACTAGAGGAGGAGGAGGGGGAGGAGGAGATCTTCACAAGATTGACATGTAAGTCTTGAACTCGCAGCAAGGCTGCACGGGGAGACTTCACTGATCCTTCCTTATTACACCCAATCTGATTGGTGCTGAGCTGCTCAACCACTGACGTGGCATCTTCTCCTCCATTCTCTTCAGCAGCCGCAGCAGCCGCAGCAGCAGCAGCAGATGTCACCGGCCTGTTCTGCACAGCCGATGGCGTTTCGATCCTTCCATTGTTAGGTTTAGGTTTGCCTCTCGGATTGGCCGGTTTCCCGCCACCAGCGACGCCACGCCCATCAAGAGGGCGTCGGCGCGCTTTGGATGCGACCACCAACTCGCACCCGCGACTAAGGCGTACCAAATTGACGGGAGATGTTGACAGCACCTTCATGTGCAGAAGGGACTGCTGATGAACCCATATTGGGAAGTGCTGGGCGTCTTTCAAAACTGCAATCTGGTTGAGCAGCTGCTCCTCCACGTACTCTCTGTTCAGCTCCAGAAGTTCCCAATCGTCTTCAGTCACCGGCTCGACGACAATGACATCTGCCTTAGGAACGTCAGATCTGATCTTAACGGTCACAGAGATCCCGTCCTTGATGCCCAGACATCTTGCCAGCACGGCCGGGACCTCCACGTCATCGCCGGCAGCCGCCGCTCCCGCCCAGCCCACGTGCCACACGTGTAACTCCGCCGCGCTTCGATCCGTCGCCGACAGCTCCGCAACCAGCGAGGACGGCGCTGCGCGCCGTGAGGAGAGTATGCCCCATAACACACGTGGCAAGTTCACGAAACAGTTTTTCTCGTGGATCAGCCTCACCGTGAATCTCATCGCCGCCATATCCGATCACATCCGCATTGCTGTACACGTGGTACGATCCTGGACAACGACAGCAGCAGCGCCGCCGCCGCCGCCGCCGGCTCTCTATAAGTATCCAACCTGTGAGGGCAGCGGCGCTGCGCGCCGTGAGTACAGCACATCTAGCTCATTAATCCACGTGGCAAGTTTAGCAAGAAGCAATTTTTATCTCGCTGATGATCAGCCTCACCCTGAATCTCATCGTCATATCCGATCACATCTGCCTCGCTGTACACCTGGCACGATTCTGGACACCCTGAATCTCATCGTCATATCCGATCACATCTGCCTCGCTGTACACCTGGCACGATTCTGGACAGCAGCAACGGCAGCAGCGGTGGCGGCGGGTCTTTGCAAGTATCCGACCTGTGAGGGCGGCGGCACTGCGCGCCGTGAGTACAGCACATCTAACTCATTAATCCACGTGGCAAGTTTAGGAAGACACAATTTTTATCTCGTTCATGATCAGCCTTCCCCCCCAGACCCCTCCTCCCCCCCCCCTCCTCCGCCCCCTTAATCTCATCGCCACATTCATCATTTATATGCCTCCGTCGGCATACACGTGGCACGCACGAATTTTATTGAGAGAGGACTGTTGATTGACATGAGCGACACTTCGTCTTTTATATTCTTGTTCTGAAACACTAACCCCCCATATTTTCTTTCTCCTTCTTTTCATTTTTTATTTTTTTAACCCCCGCCCCCCCCCTTCCCCCTCTTCTCTTGAAAGAACTTTTTTCATTACGGACCCAATGCCCAAGGCAAAGAACAATACAATGTGTTGAATCACAAGGTTTTTTTTTCTTTCCTGAATATATCTGATTGACGTCTCTCCAAATATAAGAAGGAAAAAAAATTGAATCGACGACTACCTTCTTCTTCCTCTTACTGTTGAGAGGAGCGGCACTTTTTCTCAACACGAGAGGGAAAAAAAACGGATCTACCTCTACCTTCTTCCCCCAGATGCAACATACGGTTATTATAGTTGTATATGGGGTGTCTTTCAGTCCAAATACATACAGCTATAATGGCCGTACGTTGTATACGGGGGAAAAGTGTGATATAGTGATAAACAACAGAGGTCATAGACTGGCGTTCCCGCACGCTTCGCCAGAAGATTCCATACTCTCATCCGCATGCACACTTGGCTCAGAAGATTCCATACTCATTTCCATTCACTGAGCTCAGAAGAAACGCACTCATTGCCCTACGCACGTTTCAGCCAGGAAGCGCACGCCAATCACGCACTCCCTCTCGGTGACGTTTCATAGTGTGTCATTAAAAAAAAAAGAAAAGGAAAAAAGAAAAAGACAATTGGGTGACTCTCACTGTCTCACTATTGCCACCTCAGCAGTGCCTTAAAAGCATAATTGGTCCGACCAGGCGCGGCGCTATAGATTGGGTTACCGGCTGTTGACACGTCAGCTTTCCTCTTCAATAGAAATTGGCGGGAGGGAACTGCACGATTGCAGAGCCGACGTCGTCATCACTGCCACGTCAGCCATCCTTCAGACCAGAAACTAGCGGGAAACAGCGCGAAAGGCGGGAAAAACTCACTGGGTCCAATGAACTTGTGGCATACCACGTCAGCTGTCCTTCAGACCAAAAATTGGCGGGAAAGGCGGGAAAGGTGCGGGTAAGGCGGGAAAACTCACTGGGTCTAACGAACTTGTGGCATACCACGTCAGCTGTCGTTCAGACCAGAAATTGGCGGGAAAGACGGGAAAGGCGGGAAAGGCGCGGGAAAGGTGCGGGAAAGGCGGGAAAGGTGTGGGAAAGTGGCGGGAAAGGTGCGGGAAAGGAGGGGGAAAGGGGCGGGAAAGGGGCGGGAAATAGCGTACCGAGGACGCTGTGGACTACCACCGTTTTTTTTGTTTTTTTTCTAACTACCACCGTTTGGGCATTCAAGGCTTGTGGAATGGCGTTGTTTTTTGGCAATAAAAAAGCAAACAGACAAACAACCAAAAAAAAAATCTGTATCGTTCCAGTTTTAACGGATGTCCCGCCGAAGGACATCCGTTAAAATTCGAACGATACAGAGAATAATTTTATTTTTATTTTTTATTTTTTTTTGTAAAACTACACTATGTTCTTCTCTCAAATTCGTTTTTTTCGCCTTTCACTACCTTCCTACCACTACTCCTAAGACTATATAGAGGGGACCCCTGCAAGCATAGGGCCTCGCAAACGAGGTAATTCATGTTGCCCCCTGCCCCAACAACCGTAGTCAGAGATGGGGTGGGGCGGCCGGTGGGGGTCCGGCTAACGCAAAGACCGAGCATTTTGCCAGTAGCTGCGCCTCCCTTTCTCATCGTCGCCCACTCCTCATCGAGTAGCAGCCGAGGCTATGGCCAACACTCTCCCACACAACCCACTCCCGCTCACACTCACACCCGTGTTGGTCATAGGCCCCTAAAATACAGATCAGGGGTATCCAGAGGACTATCACAGTCCCTTGGCACTAAGTGCGCCGCAGGTGGCCATGGGGCTTGAACCCACAACCTCCTGAATGCCACTTGCATGCCTAACCAACTGAGCTAGCATGGCCCCTGCGCAAGGATGACACCAAAAAAAAGACAACAAAAAGTAAGACACAAAAAAAAAAAGACAAAACAAAGAGGCTACAGGAAACTACGCTTGCAGGGGTCCCCTCTAGATAGCCTTAGGAGTAGGTAGTGAAAGGCAAAAACAGAAGTTGAGAGAAGAACATAGGGGGGGAAAAAAAAACAGTAGGATTTTTCTTTTTCTTTTTCTTTTGGTGGGGGGGGACTGTAGTCGCCCCTTCCGTTTTGTTTCCCCCCCCCCCAACCCACTATCTTCTTCCCCCAAATACAACGTACGGTCATTATAGCTGTACCTTGACTGAAAGATGCCTCAAATACAGCTATAATGACCGTACGTTGTATTCGGGGGAAGAAGGTAGTACCTCGCCCAGTGTTGGGAAATTAGGGAAAACTCGCAGTTTTCCCAAACTCCTGAAAGTTCCGAGGCCGGGCCCGACGCCGGCTGCCATTGATAAATCTGATCGGCGGTGGTCGGTTTCGTTTCGGCCATCCCAAAAGGTCGGAGGCCCACCCTAGGCCCACTATTTTCCCACGCGGCAAAGGTACTAGTGGACCGGGTGATAATATCCTTGAGAAGGGGGGGGGGAAGGAAGAAAACAAATCACCTGCGTTTTCCACGCGGCAACCGGTGCGGACCCCCCTCCAATGGCCGTTCTGCAATACTGCAAGGTGCCATCTAACCCCCCTGCAATACCGATGACGCTCCACCCCCTTTTTCATATAAAAATACAAAATATATATATTCATTATTTACCTTTTATTGATTTATTAGATTCATTTATTTTTATCTATTTATCTACTTATTTATTTTTAATTGCACGATAGTACTTCCTCTTTTCTCGACTTTTCGACTTGCAGTACTTGGTTAATCAGGGTCGTAATGTGAAAGCAAAATAGAGATCCAACCAAGATATTAATGTCAGATGATCATCATGATGATGATGATGCTGATGCTGCTGCTGCTGCTGCTGCTGCTGCTGATGATGATGATGATGATTATGACGATGACGATGCACGTGCTGGTTTGCGCAGTGTACACGCTGGTATGAAATGACGTTTTTTTTTCTTTTTTTTTTTCTTTTTTTTTTAACAAAGAACATGCTTCATTATATAATGAGCAAAAGGAGGCCGGGAATACCTCCACATCTCAACCCGGAAGAGTGAAACCCATACTCAGATGAGACTCATACTGGAAACCGTTTTTTTTCTATTGCGTGTGAAGATCAATTCTGGTCGTTGCTTACCTTCTTCTTGCACTGTCTGACTGCAACTAAAGAACCCCCTTCCCCCTCTTTTTTTTCTTTCCTTCTTTATTTCTTTTTAAGGGGGTTGTCTTCTCTACTTCCTGAGGAAAGATTGTCGGACAAAGCCAACACCCCTCGTTATCGTTCTTTCTGCTTGTCAAACCCCTAACCCCAACACACTATAGATCCATACAATTAATCCATCAACGACAAACCCGTCATGACAGATCCATACAATTAATCCACCAACGACAAACCCCTCATTGTTGTCGTTACCAGCTATTCACAACCACCCAGCTCGGCTCATCGTGAACACACCCTCCGTCTCTCTCCTCTTCCTCCACTTCCTCCTCCTCCAAACTTCCTCCTCCTCCTCTTCCACGTCCTCCTCCGCCGCCGCCGCCACCACCGCCTCCTTCTCTTCCGCTTCCACCTCCTCCTCCTCCTCCTCTCACTTTCTTCTCTCGTCCGACGCTTGGAATACTGACGTGGAACCAGCTCGTGGCTCTGCAATCATGCGGGTCCGTACTTGAAAGCATGCGCAGTTCGTGGAACCATCTTCAATTCCTCTTTTTCTTCATGAACAAAGAGTCAAACCAACTCGCTACAGTAAATTACTGTTGGTCAATGTTGGTCATAACATCACCCAATGGATCTTAGCCAAGATGGTCATTTTGCAGGAACGTCTTTTATGGTATATAAGCTATATCTTCCTCGCCCTGATCTATGTACTTGCACGTATCTTGCCAATCCAGCTGGAGTGCCTTGGGGATTATCACCCTAGATGTCAGCGAAATTTCATGAAAATGCACTTTTGCCTTGTTGTTTCATATGTTTTTTATTATTATTATTATTATTTTTTGGCAGTTAGTATGGTCCCCACTCTACGAATTGGTGGCAAGTTTGATTAAACACAAATGACCTTTTGGTTTTCATATAAATGGCATGGCAAGTGGTCTGAAAATTAGGGTCTCCGTTAACCTTCTCTCGTCTATTTTTTTGGATTTTTTTTTTGCAGTTAGTTAGTATGGTCTCCACTCTACGAATTGGTGACAAGTTTGATTAAAATGACTCTTTGGTCTTCATATCAATAGCATGGCAAGTGGACTGAAAATTACGGTTTCCGTTAACCTTCTCTCGAGGTTGGTGTGTGGTGAAGTTTGCGTCATTTGGAGAATTGGAATTTCCTCTGTTAAGATTTCTGAAATTTCCCAAGATTTCGAAAATTAAGATGTCGGCAAAATTTCATAAAAATACACTTTTGCCTTGCTTTTTTATTTTTTTATTTTTTATTTTTTATTTATTTATTTTGCAGTTAGTTAGTATGGTCTTCACTCTACGAATTGGTGGCAAGTTTGATTAAAATGACCCTTTGGTTTTCATATAAATGGCATGGCAAGTGGTATGAAAATTAGGGTCT